TACGCACAGCCAAAACGATAAGTATTAGAATGGCCTCCGGAAATAATAAAAAGGAAGACGATCGCGCAATCAAGGACGAAATTTGGGGAAAAATCAAAAAGTAACGGACACTAAGCGGAAATAACAAAAAGGCGGGAAAATAAACGTAAAGCGGGAAAAATTAATACAATACACAAACGATAGAGGACGCTACAGAGGAAACCAAAGAAGCGACACAGAACGTAGAAAGCAGGTGAAAGATAAATGAGCAGAAAATCATAAGGAAAAGATTAAAGAGCCAAAAGAAATAGGACGAGGGTAAAAACGGCAGCACAGATACAAAAAAAAAATATACGGCGAATTCCAAACGTAACTTACAGTCCTAAAAGAAATAAAATGAATACTATAGAATGGTACGCCACTGGTAAACAACCACCAACGAAACCCAAACAAAAATCCCTAATTCTAAAACTAAATATAAATCCTAACCTAAAATAAAATCAAAATAAAACATATAAAGGGTGTGGGGGTTATGTTCCCACTTTTTACGCGCGCATTCCAATACACGGAAGGAAGGTTCAAATTTACTTCTTCAAGAACCGCAGGCACAAACAAAACTAATTTTATTTAATACTGGTACAAAATAATGAAGAACAAAAACGTGTACATACAAAAGATGCCTCGCACGGAAGTAGTTAAAACGCAAGTCGGCAAGCATTGCCAGGAAGTGGCTCTATGCTGCCATCTATCTGCCCATGTAAGATATCCCTACAATACTCCCCTCCGATAAACGGAGTTACAATAAAATGTTTTTATATGTAATAATTTTACACTAACACTAGCAGCAACAATATTGGTAAACAATAATTTACATTTGTATTACTTAAAACAACGCAGTAGTAGCTAATTAACAAAACGAACTTTTTTTTCAAAATTTACTACACTATTAATGGTTTCTAATTTGGCATATGTGTGGTCTTGTACTGTGTTTGTGGTATTGGGAAGTAGGAAAGCGGGTTTTAAACGGTCTTTAGAAATATTAACTTCTTTGGAGTTAATATTCAAAGTGAGGTATTTGTCGCAACGTTTTATGATAGCGAAGGGACCATCATATGGCGGTTGAAGCGGTTTCCTTACAGCGTCTCGTCTAACGAAGACATGAGAACATGTGTCGAGTTCCGGAGTAACAAAAATTTTTGGTTGGGAGTGGTGGCTATCTGGTACGGGTTTAATTTGCTGTACTTTCTGTTTTAATCCTGTTACGAATGATGCTATATCCGATTCTACCTGGCAGTCTTCAAAGAATTCTCCCGGTAAACGAATAGGTGCGCCGTATACGATTTCTGCTGGTGATAGTCCTACGTCTTCTCGCACTACGCAATGAAGACCTAACAAAACAGTTGGTAAAATTTCGGTCCATTTGATAGAGTTATGAGCCATGATAGCTGTTTTTAAGGTTCTGTGCCATCTCTCTATTTTGCCGTTTGTCATGGGGTGGTAAGGCGATGATCGGATTCGTGAGCATCCCATAAATGTAGCTAGCGATTTAAAAAGTTGGCTTTCAAACTGACGTCCCTGATCTGTGACGATGCTTAAAGGTGTTCCAAATCTACATATCCAATTAGAATATAGAGTAGACGCTACCGTTTCTGCCGTCATATCTTTTATAGGAAAGGCTTCGGCCCAACAAGAAAATCGGTCTATGCACGTGAGACAGTACATGAATCCATTTGACGATGGCAATGGTCCAATAAGATCTATATTGATTGTCTGAAATCGGCTATCCGGTGGTTGAAATTTTTGTAATGGTGTTGTAGTGTGCTTGTTAATTTTTGATTTTTGGCAGTTAATGCACGCCTTTGTCCAATCTCGTATGTCCTTATGCATTGAGGGCCAGACGAAACGGGAAGAAATTAATTTCTGTGTGGCTTTAATTCCGGGATGTGACAAATTATGGTATTTTTCGAAAATGAATCTGCGAAAGTTTGCTGGAATGTATGGTCTTACGCTTAGTTGACTGATGTCGCAGTATATTTGTAAGTCAGATTCGTGAAGAGTACATTTCTTGAGTTTTAGAGAGGTACTATTGGGATTTCGTAACATATTCTCTAACTCTGGGTCGCTATTCTGATGAATTTGAATGGCTTCGTAATCAATCGATTGAGGAACGTTGATGCTATTTATTCGTGACAATGCATCGGCGATAATGTTGTTCTTGCCACTAATGTGGTGGATGTCGGTGCTAAATTGTCCAATATAATCTAAATGCCGAATTTGTCTGGGTGAGGCCTTGTCGGATTTTTGAGAAAATGCAAACGTTAATGGTTTATGATCAGTAAAAATTTGGAAATTTTTCCCTTCTAATAGGTATCTGAAGTATTTAATTGCTGAGTATATAGCGAGAAGTTCCCTATCGTAGGTACTATATTTTGTTTGTGTTGGTGTGAACTTTTTTGAAAAAAAACTTAATGGTTCCCATATATTGTTTTCCAATTGTTCGACCACTGCGCCCATTGCAAAGTCAGATGCGTCGACTGTTAACGCTAACAGTGCTCGAGAGGATGGATGCACCAGTAGTGCTGCCTTGGCCAGGTCGGTCTTGCAATGCTGGAAAGCTTCTAACGCCTCGTTTGACCACTGCAATGGTGTGCGATCCTTTTTTTTGTGACCTTTGTGCAACATATGTAGGACTGCTTGATGAGAAGCGGCATTCGGCAAACTGCGCCTGTAAAAGTTGATGATTCCTAGGAATCTTCTTAAATCTGCTGCCGTTTCAGGCAAGGGATAGTCTGTGATGACCTTCACCTTTTCGGGCAATGGTTCCGATCCTTTTGCTGAAACCCGATATCCTAGGAATGTAACGCTGGTAGCTCCAAATGTGCATTTCTCTATGTTGATAGTTAATCCATAATTCTGTAGGCGTTCGAAGATTTGTTTCAAGTGATGCTCATGTTCTGTTTCGTCGGTTGAAGCAACGAGTATGTCATCCAGATATGGGAAACAAAATTCTAGATCTCGAAGGACTTCATGAATAAAGCGTTGAAACGATTGAGCAGCATTGCGCAATCCAAATTGCATTCTGGTAAACTCGAACAACCCGAAAGGAGTTATTATGGCTGTTTTTGGAATGGAACTTTGTTCGACTGGGATCTGGTGGTATGCACGTATAAGGTCTATTGTTGAGAATATCTGTTTTTTTTCTAGCATATGGCTAAAGTCATGTAAGTTGGGAACTGGATATTTGTCTTCCAAAGTAACTGCATTAAGTCTACGGTAATCTCCAACAGGTCTCCATTCGCCCGATTTCTTTTTGACCATGTGTAAGGGGCTTGCCCAGGGACTGTTGGATGGTCTGCAAATACCTTGGTTCAACATAAACTGGAATTCCTGTTTCGCTATTTTCAGTTTGTCTGTAGGAAGTCGACGAGCTTTTGAAGAAATGGGTTGGCCTTTGGTCATGATTAAATGTGTGGTTGAATGTTTTATACCATTAGGAGCATTTACAAATTTTGTAATTGATGGATATTGCTTTAGGATGTCATAGTATTTGCAATTTTTGTGTACAGTAAATACTGATTCGTGTGGTGTTGTGATGAGTTTGCCAATTACAGAAATTTCAGTACGGGGGTCTATTATCCTATTGGTACTTAAATCTATAAGAAGTTTGAAATGATAAATAAAATCTGCCCCGATAATGGCATGATCAGTATCGGCAATAATAAATGACCAACTAAATTCTCTCCTTAATCCTAAACTTACAGTTAAAGTTTTTGAACCATATGTACATATGCGTGTGTTATTAGCAGCATACAAAGTAAATTTATTAATAATGTTACGATGTCTTATTGTTTTGGGAATCAATGACACATCTGACCCGGAGTCAATAAGAAATTTTATTCCGGATAAAGGATCAGTAATTATTAAGCGGTTGCTTACCCTATGGTTGTACGCTACTTCCTGTAGGTGGTGGGCTTCGTCTTCCACACCAGTTGCCACCCTTGGTGGTGTGGAATCTAGTTTTCCTTCGTGCTCGGGAAGTTGCATGGAGAAACGCACCTCTTGGCTTTGTTTTTGAAGGTATTGTGGTACCAACATGTTCCTTCTGTTTGCGCTCGCCCTTGGGATCGTGATCTGCTACGGTTTCGCTTGTGGTTAAACGATTTGTCCCTTGATCGTGTTTCTGTCTTTAATTGCTGCAGTTCCTCGGAGAGCTTCTGGATCATCTCCTCCACTCGACTAAGGCTGTGACTACTGTGCTCGCTTTCGTGGATGGCATAAGCTCGAGGTTGTTGGATTTCCGCAATTTTGTCGGCCATTTTAGCAAGGTTTTGGAGCGAGTCGGAGCTTGCTGCGAGGACGGACTGTATATGCGTTGGCAGGTGTTGCATCCATAATGTTTGGGTAATTTCACTTGATACCGCATTGCCTCCAAGTCTAATCATCTCGTTTAACAGCTGGGAGGGTTTTTTATCTCCTAAGGATACTTCGGACAACAGTTTTCTTAATTTACGCTCCTGCGAGTCTGAAAATATTGCAATTAACTTTTGTTTCACCTGTTCGTATTTGTGACTCGAAGGTGGGTTTACGATGAAGTCGGTAATCTGTGTGAGTATGTCGGTGTCAATTGCGGTAAGTACATAATTGTACATTGTAAGATCGGAGGTGATTCCATTTAACGAAAATTGTGCTTCCAGTTGTACGAACCACAGCTTGGGGTCTGCTTTCCAAAATGGGGGTGGTTTAACAGCGACTCGTTCCACGTGTTCGGTCTGAATTTGCTGCGACGGCTGTGTATTTACAGATGCCTGAAGTTGGGCTTGCTGTGGTTGATTTTGTTCGTTCGTCATTTTTTTCAAAGATACGGTATTCGGTACACGTGCTCTTGTCGGAGGTCACCAAATTGTGGGGGTTATGTTCCCACTTTTTACGCGCGCATTCCAATACACGGAAGGAAGGTTCAAATTTACTTCTTCAAGAACCGCAGGCACAAACAAAACTAATTTTATTTAATACTGGTACAAAATAATGAAGAACAAAAACGTGTACATACAAAAGATGCCTCGCACGGAAGTAGTTAAAACGCAAGTCGGCAAGCATTGCCAGGAAGTGGCTCTATGCTGCCATCTATCTGCCCATGTAAGATATCCCTACAAGGGGTTTCGAAGGCGACCAAACTAACGACAAACTGAACAAAAAAAAGGAACGTAACAGAAGAAAAAGGATTCATTAATGCAGCGTTTCTCAACCTGTGGGGCGTGTAAACATTAATGGGGGGGCGCAGCATATCAGAAAAAAAACACTAACTGCATTAAATAATTTATTAAAACGAAAAGAAAACAAAATCCTGACATAATTAAAAATAAAATACACATTCAGATCTATTCACTAAACGTGGTTGACTACCGTCAATAGTTGACTTGATATCAACTAATATTCTCAATGTTGAAAATATTTGGTATTCGGTAACAGCGTTGATAAGACTGCTAATTGACATTAAAGTTGTCAATAATTACTATGTGTGGCAACGCTGCAAATATGTATAGTAGTTCAAATAAATCTAGTTATTCTAACCTAAAACCTCACTCTTCTAACCATACTTTGAAACACAAAAAGAGCTACTCCGGCACAGTTAATGTGCCTAATGGACTCTGTGGAATGCAATAACACCATTTTATATGGAAAAGGAACATCTGAAGTAAAAAAAGAAGCCTGGGAGAAAGTTACTGCTAGAGTAAACGCTGTAGGAGGTTGTACCAAAAGTGGAGACGGCTGGAAAAATGTAGGTAACAAGTATATTAATTTTAAGGACTTATTTACATAATTTATAGGCATTTACTGTATGGAAATCACATATTAGAAAAAAAATACGGGAGGGTACAACGTTAACGGATTTAGAAGAACGGTGCTCCAAATTATCTGGGTTGCCAACTGTAGCTACGGGTATGGAAACCATAACTGAACTTGGTATGCTCCCTGTCGAAGATAATATAACTATAGGGACCGTACTGGAACTACAAGATGTTGAAATTGAGCATCAACAGGAGGAAGATCTGGAGCAGGAAATGGAACAAGCTGGTCCTTCAACGATTGTGGAACCAAAAGGCACAACAGTGAAGAAAAACAGACCAAGAAAGACACCTAATGGTAAATATGTTAACATTTATAAATAATCTACGTACCTAACTCTTTTTATGCAACATTAAATACCTACCTATTTTATAATTTGGATAACAGGAAAACTGAATTTGTTCTTTATTAGTGAATAAATTAATTGTTTATTTAAATTCACATATATAAAATTCATTTATCATGTACAGGATTTGAATTATTTGACATTTTATAGAATTGTTGGAAAACCATACACTTGCCACTGTTGATGGACTTCAAAATATATCTCTTGGCTTGCAGTCTCTCGCATCTGCAATAAATAATTTAGCAAAAGCCATTCGTGAAGGGAGCCATGACAATCAAAAGTGATTTTACTTATTATTAAAAAGTATGTTGATAGACTGGAAAAAATAAAGGATATTATACTGTTAATTTCTTTACATCTATCGCAATATTCTAGATTTTTTGTGTATTGTAGAGCAGAAGCTAAAAAGGCAATCATAAACGACTGGCCGTCAATATAAATTATACCTTAACTATAAATTAAATATGGAAATGGAAGCATTTGATGATCTCTGTAAGAAATTAAATAGCATAGAAGGTCCTCAAAGAGATGCAACACATTGGAAACAAGTAAATTTGTGAAAAATCATATTGGAATTGAATATAGTTAAAATTTTAGACTTTTAATGAATGGGAATGTAAAGTTAAAGCTAAAGCAAGGAGAATTTACCTTAGGAGAGAGATGACAGGAGGTGGTGTCAGTCCAAATGAGTTTTTGACAGCATTGGAAGAAAAGCTGCTAAGTTTAATATCAAAAATATTGCTGTTTGGCCACCCAGATATTATTGAGCTTGGATTTCAAAAATATTCGAAAAAGCCATGTATAACATATAAAGTAAACAAAAAATGCAGAAAATATTTGAAAACTAAGACATGTGCAGGTAAGTACGTAAGGTGGTGAGAATAAATTCAAAGTATTAATGTTGTAGTATGGAAATGGAATGGTACACAGATAACAAAAAGTTGGGAGAAACTTAATGAAAGTTTAAGACTGTTAATGGAAGCAGTTGAAAATTTGGCAGGTGCGATCCACTCACACCCATAGTGGGTCACAAAATGTTCATAGTTCTATAGTCTTTAACCTAGTATTTTTATTTAAAAATAAGTTTCAATAACATTGTTTCGTACAAGTCTTCCAATATTGAAGTATGCAACATTTTCATTATTATCAATGCCATTATGATCTATGTCATCTTCTACTTCATCGTCATCTACAATTAGAATTTTTTGAAAAAATTGATATTTGTAGTTACTTATATGTTACCATGATCAAGGACGTCATTTCTCATTATGCATAAATTATGTAATATTGCACAGGAGTAGATAATTTTTGCAGCTCTTTCGGGTTTGTAGTTAAGTGTTCTGTGTCTGCTTAAACATCTGAAACGTTGTTTCAACACCCCATTACAACGCTCAACTACATTTCTTATAGATTTGTGTGCAGAGTTATAATTTACTTCTCTTTCATTCGCTGGTCTCAATATCGGTGTAAGAAGCCAAGGTTCTAAAGGATATCCCGAGTCGCCTAAACATTTCAATAATAATTCAAGATTGATATAATTATACCCCACCAAGTAGATAAGTATGTTGGGCTCTATTGTTGTTGTAATTTTGAAGTAAATGCCTTCTACTATCGGAGTAAAATGTAGAGTCCGCTCACTTTGAAGGCTCAAATCTCCAAATCGCTGGAGCCGATATTAATGAAATTTTTTGAACGTATCAATTGGTAAGTTGTTGTTAACATACGTAAATTGTAAATTTTTGCTGCCAGGACTTTTTACGTTATCGAATTTTCCTCACAAAAAAGTACTCTAAAATGCGTGATTTGTCGCGATGCTCAACTGTACAGGTCCATAAATAGTTTATTTTTCGACGAATATTCATACATTTCGGGTATTACATAACCCAATTCTTGCTGTAGCTATTGTAGAAAAAATTATGGAAATATCTTTTTTGCGTAATTAGCGGAAAAGCAAAAACATTGCAACGCAGCTATTATTGAAGGAAACGACTTCATTCTTTTTTTATAAGATGAATAAAATAGCAAACGCCATAAATGCGTACATATTGTCTGAAAACAACTTGTGGATGTTTGTTTTTGTGTAAATTAGCCAATACTCTACGTACGAAACAAGATGAATAATAACCTGCGGTTTTCATGTGTGATGTGCGGCAAACATAATAACAATTTCATGCATATATTACCATTGTATTTATACCTTACCAGTATGGCCACGGTATAGCAAAAAGTGCGACGCGTTAATAAAGCTAGATAGATGGCGCTAAAACGCACTGCAAAAATTAATTTAGCGTAAAAGTAAACCATATGCAGTGTCGTATTCCCCCACAGACGTCTCTGAAAGCAGCCTATTTAATCTTTTTCTTTTGCTACGTATGCTGTACGCTTTGTGTAAGTTTTAAAGTTCACCAAACGAATAACGAACAGGATGCCGGTGACGTATGCTACTGCTACATGAAAGTTGTATTGTAAGCATAAAGACGCTCTTTATCTTTATTATTAGTATTTTATTTCATTGTTACCTATACCTGTAATGTTAGGTTCCAGGTTTTATTGAAAGTTTTTAGCGGCAAGGATTTAATTGAATGGTCAAAAATAAATTCCTGGGCATTTAAGGGATTAACCCGAAGTATTTGAAGATTTGTTGAACAAAAATAAAAATTAAATTTAACAATTCGACCCTGAAAAAGATAAAATACTCTAACCAGCGGAACAATTGAAAATTAAAGGTTTCTGTCTGTGTAGGTACGTGCGGGTTCCTCTATAAATAGGATTGAAGTAGGCACCTCTTGTTAGTAAACAAAACAATTTCCTACTTCCTGCTTGTCGGTCTCGGATTTAAAATCGTCACTGTCACTGTCTTTTGCATATTATTGTATTACTATCGTAAAGTAAAATTGCACTTTGTTGCTAAAATGTATTTTATTTTATACAAAAAAATGTAAATTACACAACAATTGTTTTGCATAATGGTTTATACATACTATGATAATTTTGATAGTAATGCTCCAACAAATCCACCACTCAAATATAGTTAATCTGTAGCAAAAATTTTGATTAAATTTCTACGATGATTTCTTAGACACCGTCGAATCCAAAATTTCAATTCGATCCGATAAATATTTCTGTGGCCATCACCAATTCGTAATGTAGGTGGATGAAATTTTAAAAAAGCGTCTCAATGTGAAGGAGTCGGCAGAATAAAGAATCGCCTGTAACAAATCATGCTGCTGTTTACTGATTTTTCAATCAATGATTCTTGAAACTCGCAAATTTGACAAAATCTCGACTAAAAGAACTATAACTATACAAAAATATATACAAAGGAAAAATCTCCGTCGACAATTTACTGGTGTTTAAAAATTTTAAGTTTGTCTCTGTTTCTTTCTTTTCCCAGAGACAATGCCTTACATTTGTTAAATATTTTTACAGTAACTAGTAAATTAATTAAGTACATCATATGCTTGCCACATTCAGATTCGTCTACATTGTAATATCGTTTATTTAAAGTATTTACAATCGCCTTCGTCAAACGCTCTTTTAGTTTATTTTTACACATAACACTATTAAATTTATCATTGAAAACAGTCAAAGCTTTTGAGCAAACTGTCATCAGCAAATTGGTTGGTGCTCTTAAACCAATTGATTCAGGCAATTTATTTTCAAATGTTTTATACACTATAAGTAACTCACGTTTATCAGATAAACCACTGTCAGTCACACATTTTAGCAATAGTTTTTCACAATTTGCACAGTTAAATTTATCAATTAGTTTTTTGCCTAAATACCCAGCAAAATATGCTTCCGCACATTCTTGTAAACCACTTTGCTCTTCTGCATGTACCTCGAATTTTTGGATTGGTGAAGAAGTGTCGGATTTAATATCTGATGATTCTTCATCTTCTCGTTCATTACTATCATCATCATCATCATCCGCATCAGCAGTATCGTCCTTAGTGTCATCTTCAAAGTATTTTGGTCCAAAATCGATTTGCATCATAGCATCAAAATCTGGTTCACAGTTAGCTGCTGCGGGGGGTTTCATCAAATCCGCGATTGTATTTATGCGAAATGATGTTCTAAAAATTCTCGCAGTAGGATTTTTATTATACCCACCCCTTTGTCTGATAACGGAAAAAAAGTTTTCTAATACGTCTTGGTTTAGTCTTGACGTCAATATGTATTCTATTCCATCACTATTTTTCTGCTCTTCAAACAATTGTTGAAGGGAATTTATTGTCATAACCGCTCCATCAAAACACGGTGGTCTACTTACAAGATTCTTACTATCTATTTTGATTAGGTTTTTAAATAAAGTTTTTCCTTGGTTTAAGATATCTTGACCGATGGCATTTGTATTTGACAGCGCACACCTGTAGGGATTTGTATTGAATCGAGTTTTGCTGTTTAGGACATCAAAAAGGTTGTTCATATTAAGGATGAAACGAGCAGTGTTCGTAGCGGAGTTGCTTGTAAGTTGTTTGGTGTGCACTACTGTTTTAATTGCAGATGAAACGGAATGACTAAATAGTTGTAATGCTAGCTTGCAAGATAACTTTTGGAAAGCATTGGGATTTAAATGTGCAGGTGTTAATTTTGTTAAGGCTAGACCGGTTTCACTTTTTTTATCTATGGCGTAGGCTTTTCTGACGTCCTCGATGCTTATTTTTCCTCCATTCAATTTATAATGTCCGTTCAATAAATTATTTCGTAAGGACTTAAAAAGGTGAGGCACATCGTACATGCAAAATATTTTTTCATTGTTACAAAAAAAGTATGGATTTTCTACTGTAACGTTTAAGCACTTTAAGGCACCCCTATTATTTGATCCTTGGTCACAAGTAACTACTTTTGGACGAAGTCCACATGCTTGCAGTTTCGAGACGGTCGTTGTGAGTAAAGTGCTTAACATTTCACGTTTTACACCTGTGCCTGTTAGAAAATATGCAACAGGCAATTTCCAACTGTGATACAGACCTCGAATCATGAACACCATGGCATATTTTGCAGAAGTGGTGGTTCTACCGAACGATCCCAGATCTTCATATCCCTCTATTATGTCTAACGCTTTAGAATACTCTAATAATTTTTTAATGGACATTTCGTCAAAGCAAAGCATACATGTTTTTTTCCCCTGTCGGACATTGCGTTGGCTTTGTATTTTATTTGGCGCAACAATAAGTTATTGAATCCCGGTCTGAACTTAGAAACCCCAATCCATCGCCGTACAGTTCGTGCGGAAGGGAGGATAATGTTCTGTTTTATTAAAAATTTGTAGGCCGACGGAGATTTATAATACAATGCAATTGCAAACTCTTGTTCATTTTTGTTCCACGGAGAGTTTTTGCGATGTAATAATTGCATTTTTACTAAAGTTTCGGAGTGTTTAGATGCATAAGTTACATTTTTTAGAGCTTCATGTACTTTTAATGGCTTAGATTTAGCTTTAATGTTTGCTTTCAACCTTGAAACCTCTCCTCTTCTCCTTTTTTGTGATACTCTTAAATTATCGACGGTCAACATTAGTTTTTTCTCGCGAACGGTAATATCTCGGGTAATATCTTCACCGGAAAATAATTTTCGTTTTGCACGTTTTGGATCCACCGCTGGCGACTCTAATAAGAAGGTTGCCCACTCTTCTGTAGATGGACTGCCCATTTTAGAAGGACTGGAATTATTATTATCCACCGATACCGTATACTGACCGCTTGGGGACGAAACGTTTGTGTCGTGCTTTTTTTCAGGTGTCATAATTCTTACTCCTTTTGTCGTAGACATAAGAGTAGGAATTGTTGATGGTAGAGAAGATTTAGAAACATATGTTTTTTCTGGCATAATCGTCTTTAATCCTTTTTCCGGCGAATAGCGAATGGGAACCGCATCGTTCTTTAAACGCTTCCGAGATGAGGTAGTGAAGCTAGTGTCTTCAAAGTGAACACCACATACAGGGTGATTCCTATAGTACCTGCCACCGTTTGGGAGCGTGTAGGTGGTGCGTAGGGGAGTATTTTGATATAGGACACTTGGGGTCGGAAATCTAAAATAAGGGTGCCAGAGCCAAATTTACCTT